CTGGGTTTGTTAACACCACTTCCTTTCCCCCCACCTGCCCCTCTCCCATGTCCCCCTAGAACAGTCGGTCCTGTTGTTTTCTCCTCCAGATTGTTCATCCAGCCTATCCTATCCAGACAGACCTGCAGAGATAATAACATGCACGAAAACAAGACAGAGCAAAACCAAGCAACAATGTACAACGAAACAACAACAACAAACCACTGACAACAAAACAAAACACAACAAGAAAGAAAAGCTTGTAGTTAGTTCAAGGATTCTTTGTTAAATTTTGGTCTTAAAGAACAAATGAAAGCATGTTGAGTCTTTGTGTATTGAATAGGCAGTACCCATTGTAAAGGATACGTTAAGTACAAGAGATACAGAATCTCATGCAAGTGCAAAGCTAGGACAAGATGTCGATTAAATAACAGCGTGGTCAGGTTTAGTGACCAGTCTTACAAGGGCAGTCTTCGTTCACTGTTGGTTTTGCTTCTGTTTGCATAAACACGAGCACTTAGAAATCTTGTGGCCAGTCAAGTTTTCTCATTGGTGGACGGTCCATTTGCTTCTCCACATTTTGGGGAGGGGGATTGTTTGTCTTTTTATATCAGCAGAACCTTCCTGATTTGTAGGCGTTCTTTATACGTTACACGTCTTGCAAAGACCCCGCCTCAGTCTGCTTCTGCGTTTATTTTGTTTATGGTGTCTTTTGGCCCTCAGAAGTTCATATTTTTGACCCTGACTTCACTGTCAAAGTAAACTTCCAACTTCCAGAAGCACTTGCTGAGGAGAAATCAAAATAAGCATTCTATTTCACCACAGCGTGGTCTTTCCAGCTGATGTGGACAACCGACTACGGACTCCTAATGACGCCTGGACGCTAGATCTAACTGAAGATTTCTTCCAGAGGAAGGAACATTAGGATTTATTTTAGACGATTGTGTGCGCAGACCTAGAGACCCGTCCGGCCACTCTGAAGTGCTAATTTGGGCTACTTCATAGCATAATCACAAGAAAGACCTCACTTGACACTTAAGATCTCTGACTGGTCCCTGCTACATCTCTTCCTATAGTTCTTGGCTCCATCTCGTTCTTTGACAGTCATTACATATCCACTCAGTGCCTCCATTTCTTCAATTGTAAAACTGAGTAAGTACTGGACTGCTGGCTGTAAGGTCAGTAGTTCAAGGACAACAGCCACCGCAAGAGAGAAAGATGTAGCTATCTGCTCCTAGAAAGCTGTGGTTTGGTTTTCACAGGGCTGTTAGGAGCAGTAAATGAGTAAACATAAGGTGTTTAGAACAACATGGGCTCGCTACACGCTAAACACCCAAAAAATGCTAGAGGAGGCATTCTACTCCCAGAAAAAGTTACAGCCCAGAAATCCCTAGCGGTCGTTCCACCTTGTCCTGCAGTAGTGTTGTGAGTCTGTGTCCACTCGACAGCAGTGGGTTTGGTGTTTTAATCTGGATTCACACAGTTGAGGAGCCTTGGCAGCATCGTGGTTAAATGCTCAGTTTCTACCCAAAAGGTCGGGGAGGAGTCAAGATGATGCCCAGGTAGAATCACCGCCCTCCTGGTACTCCCATGGTTAGACCAGAAATTAAGATGAGGCTCATATTGGGAGGCTGGGTGCTGAAAATAGATTCAGTGTAGGAGGGTCTGGTTCAGGATCCCCCCCCACCCCCCTGTGATTTTTTAGCTATTTGAGAACTCGCTGAAGCACTTGAAGTTCACACCGTGTCTGCCCGCGGGCTCTGGGCACCACTAATCCCTCGCCAGGTCCAGGGGGATGGTGTCTGCCACCCCTTCCTGCACCCAAGATCCACGACCCGCAGCGTGCAGTCATTTCCCCAGGCTGGCGGCTAAAGGGGTCATACTCCCAGGCTTGTGGACAGCCTCCGAGAACTCGCCACAAGCCCTCACACCAGAGTTCCCCTCTCTGCTCTCCTCCCTGCCCCTGCATTCCCGGGCTTTGCTTCTCCCCTCCCCAGCCAGGAACAGAGTGACTACATCCACCATCTTCTTTCCCTTCTACCCCAAAGGTCAGCTGTTCTAACCGACCAGGAAAGAGATGTAGAATCTGCTACTCTCAAGATTTGCAGCCTTGGCAACCTCGTGGGGGAGTCCTTCTGTGTCCTGTGGGGTTGCTGAGTAGGAATGGCTTAGATAGCAGTTGATTTGGGCTTTGTTTTTGTTATGTATGTCGTTGTTAGGTGCTATCCCTAGGGACCCCATGCACACAGAAGGAAACCCTGCAGACTCCAGCCCTCTGCTTAGATTGTTCTTAAGCCTGAGCCCCTTGCTGCACCCGTGGTTATCATTTGTGTAGTTTGTTGTTCTCACAGGTTATTATTTATATAATTTATGGTTCATTCGCTTACCAGTTGGTCTTATTAAAGCGAGACTTCCACCGTCAATAAGATTTGCCACAATTTTTCTTCTTATTCTCTCCTTCCACGTACCCACTGCAGTCGTGGGTGGCCATGTGACTCGGCCTGATCACTGAACTAGGAGGTAAATTGAGGGTGTCTCCTCTGGGCAGAAGTGTTAAGACCCAGGAAGCTGGTCTCCATTTCTCTTCCTTGCCTCCTTCATCGTGAAAATACGCACCCTGCATCCCCACAGGCCCTGAAGCTGCGTGAGAACAAACTTTGGTCTTTGGTTTTGGTTTATTTGTGTTAAAAATAACTTCCTGCTCTGAAGCTTAACAAAAGTGTCTCCTACCTTTTTTGGTAATTGCTCTGGAGGTTTCTTTTTGACCTAGAGGTCCTTTATCTGCTTGAAATTTATTTTTGTGTGTGGTGCACTGTAGAAAATACAACTCAGTATCCCCACCTCCCCACCCCCCGCCCCATAGAGCATCTGTCTCTGTTGTTCCAACACAGTTCATTTCGGACCTTTCTTCCCCTGTGTATTTGTGATGTGATTACAGCCAAAGACTGAGGGCCTGTGTTTACATGGGTCTCTCTCCCTCTCTCTTTTCCCCGACTCTTCATTCTGTGCAAAGATCCTTTTGTCTATTACTGCACTATTATGTTACATAGTTTTATTTATCATTTCTTTATAATTTGTCTCAATACGTGCTAAGTCAAGGAGAGTGCAGTCTGTAGGCATGGAGAATGGGGCATAAGTATTGATTTCTATTCTGTGGATCTTAATCCACCCATCCTTCAACCCCTGGCATCTCCATACTTTAACAACTACACGTGATAGATAGACCCTCAGCCTACACTTTCTGGCTTCATCTACACTTCAGACCATATATTTCCCTTGAGTTAATCAAAGGGATGAAAATATTTTTAAAAATAGATTTGAGAGTTATTATCAAAGCCAATTGGCAGGACATGAAATGGCTTGACTTTTTGTGGGGTAGTGTGTGGAGGTGGGAGAAAGATGAGGCTACCTAGTCCCATAAATGTCGACAGCCTCACAAACCATATGGGTTATGGGTCAGAATCAAGTCAATGACAGGAGGGGTTTGGGGCAGTGGGCAGAGGGATGGCTAGTGTGGAGGCGATTGCTGGTCGTTCTGGCCCAATCAATGAGCACTGCAAGGAGGTCTCTGAGAGGTAATGACATGCACCTGCTCAACTGGGTACCATGCAAGCATCAACTCTAGCTCGAAGGGACAATTTCTTGAGCGAATAATACAATCTGTACAGAGATCCAGTTGCAGAAAGGAAGGCAATGATTTCAGTGTGTAAAAGATATATTTTAAAAAAAAGATTTATTTCTTAGATTCTAACATTCATCACAATACCACTCAAAGCAATCCATTGGTTCACCAAGATCCCAATAGAAATGCCAACGACCTTCCTGACAGCAATAGAAAACCCATCTTCAACTTTACCTGGACTGGGCAGAGGCTCCAAATAGCTAACAGGATGCTGGAGGAGAAGAGCAAAGCAGAGGACTCACACTTTCGGTCCCTTTAAGACCGTTAACATTGCTTCTCATCAAGAGGAAGCAGTGAGAGGCCAATGACTTAAGCTGGGTCACCATTTTGAAGAGGGAGCATTTGTTTTTTGCAGCCAGACACAGCGATCGCTGCAATGTCTGTGGGGATCTGAGCACTAAGCAGCATGCAGACACAATCCTATACCCCCACCTTTCCTGCTATTGGCGAGAGCCATTCAGGCCCCCGCCTCGTTGCTGCTCTCGGATCCCTGTTGCACACACTCCACGAAGAACTAGGCACCAGGAAGGTCAGGCTTAGGGCTAACCCTCTGCATGGGAGATCAGCAGGGCGAGGATCCCAGGCAACAGCAGGAGGAGCGCAGTGCCTTCTCTCATTCCTGCAGATGGAAGAAAAGGAAAGGTTTTTGCATGGGATTTCTCTGGACACGGGCCGTCCGAACTTTTCAATCTTCACTCTAGGCTCAACACCTCAAGCAGGTGGGGCTCTCAGAGCACCTTGTGAACATACCAGCCCCAGACTGCTCTCCATCACCCTCAGTTCAGGCACCATCATCTCTGGCCAGAATTATTGCAGCAACCACATCGTTCTGCCTGGAACCGGGTCTCCCGACTCCCCTAACCCTTCCCATTGCCACCCTTGCTGCCACTGAGTCAGTTCAGACTTATAGATACCCTACGGACAGAGTAAAACTGCCCCACTTGGGTTTCTGAGGCTGTAAAATCTTCACAGGAGCCAGAAAGTCTCTTCTTTTTCCTGCAGTTTCTGGGGAGCTCAAGTGTCTGACCTCACCATTAGCAGCCCAATGCGTAATCCACGGTGCCACAATTGAGAACGTCAACTATCGGCACGTTCCAGACTCCTGCCCAGCATATCTCTCTGCACAGCTCGGAGGTCGGGAGCTTGGCTGACCCAGAAACTACCTTGTGTCTCTGAGCCTGAGTTCTTATCCGCCCCTCGGTCTGACGAGGAACGAAATCCTCCTCAGTGGTAGGTTGGAGCACCCACTGCTCTCTGCCTGGGTGAATCCTGCTGGGGGGGCGGGCGCTCTTCTCCTGTTCTATCATGGCCAGCCACTCCCACCTCAAACAAAACCCACACCTACCCAAGTGGCGGTATCTGCTGGAATTTGCAGTCGAAAGATAGTAGCAATTGTAGTTACTTCCCCCTTTTCGGTAACGTTCCAGATGAATGCGATTCCCTCCTTTATCTGTATCTTCTACAGTGACTTTCTGATACACCTCATACCCTGGAATTAGTACTTCCTGTTCATGTGGTACAAAAGAGAACTTTGCAATACTAACACCCAAACAGGTTTTGATAGTAAAAATTGTTCCGGTCTCACTAGAAAAATGCAAAGCTACAGCATTCGACAAAGATGATGAGGTAAATTGTCCGAAACGCACATTCCCTTTCCCGCTATAATAGAACTTGGTCTTGCTGCCTCTGTAAACTGTGAAACACTGATTGTCCTTGAGAAGCTCAAGGGCTCTTGTCAAATAATAATGGAAGGCTTTGAAGGGGAAGTTATGTGAATTTTGATGAAACCCTCTCACAGCTCGGTTGAATTCTTCTGCGATGGACACGTTCGTATAGGTCACGACCGCTGTCCCGTGGAAATCACTGAGTTTGTTTGTGTTGCTCTTTATCTCGCTCCACTTCTTTGCTGCCTTTTCCCACGCAGTTTTCAATTTTTGATGTGCTTCCAGTTCTTCTCTTAACAGCTGAGGTGCCCTTTTCTCCATTTCTTCAGTACAGCCCACATACTGATCGTCAAACGCGTTGTCGGCCATGTCCAGCCATGCCGAATCAGCCACCTGTCAAGAAGGAGTGACACCCGTTGTCATAGATCTCTACAGAACCAATGTGTGCTGGAGATCGGCACCAAACCCACGGCACGGGCTTCCCGCTCAGTCTGAAATGCGTACCTGTCACAGGGCTCATGTATGAAACATGTAGGAACACAATCTTACTACACATGAGCTGTGCAAAAGGGAAAAGCTCAGTTTGGCCACTCTTGGGTTTTCTTCCATCATTTAAAACATGCTTTTCAGAGTCACGCTCTCTAACCAGCCCTAGACACAGAGACAACTGTTGTCTCCAAGATGTGAGGTCAAAGCCAGGTCAGCAGGATGTGGGTTTGTATCTAGTACCTGTTGTGTTAGCCACTGCGTGAGAACCAGCAAGGGAACTGCTGTGCTTGGGAGAGACGCCATCCCCAGGTTCACGGAGATCTGCAACCGGAAGACAGTGAGAGGCGGTGTGAACATCAGCACCACGGAGAGAGTGTTGAGGCATCAGGTCTGTGTTAATGCCATCCAAGCCCAGAGCCCCAGCCTCACATTGACCCTGAACAACTAACTTAAATTCCCTGAACCCTGCATGCTGGCTGACAAAACCACCAGAGACATGGATCATATTCTACAAGAGTCTTCTCCACAGAGCAATACTGTGAACCCTTTTACAGACATTTTAGTAAGAGCATTCTCAAACTTTTGCTAAACTGAATACTTTGGAATATCTCTCAATACTATCCATTTTCTGAACAACCAGTTTGCCTAATTAATTACCGTGACTAATGAGAACCCACCATCTTAAACGTTCATGTTTTGAGAGGAGAGGCTGTAAACCACAAACGGAGCCAGGCAAGCCCGAAAGTGGGTATGACGGTCACTCAGCTTTCGGCTGATGCCTTCCCCTGGGCAGTTCTTGGCAATTCATGGAGGTCGTCTCCAGCTGCCGAGCCCATTGTGGTACTTTCCATCTTTCGGCCCAGTCTTTCTTGGGAGAGTATCGCACGAGCCAGACTGCAAGAACGGCATGGAGCGCCTGCAGCCTGCAGCAAGGCCCCACGAACGGTGCTTGGAAAGACCCGCTGCTGTGACTCCAGGCTCCTCCTCCTGAGCTTACTCCTGCCCGAGCCGTTAGGAGGACACATATTAGAAACAGCAAACTCAGAAGTTCTGCACCCCCATGGCCTCTGTCTCACCCTCCAGGTCACTTTGGCTAGAAGGAACTCAAGTTACAATAAACTCACTGTGAGCATCGCCTTAATCAAGGAGTAATCTTTGTCTGCATATAATTATCAACTTCATGGACACCCACAACTTACCTCAACATTATCTCAAAGGTCTAGAGTACATCTTTGTAGGAAAAAAAACGTGCCCAAAGAAAATGCTGCACCGTCTACTGAAGGCAAAGCATTTCAGTGACTACATCTTTCCTCATTTTCCTGCGCTGCAGAAGACCCTGGATGACAGACGCCCAGTCTATCAAGAGGCACTGAGGGGATATTGAAGTTAATATCTAATGCTAAAAACTCTGTTTTGGTATGTGAGGTCATTTGGGGTTTTTTTTCTCCATAAAAGCATTTGAAAATACCAGCCTAAAATTCTCCACATGTCTAGAATAGCGGTGTGTTAGGAAAAACATGTTCAAAGCAATATATTTTTTAGAGGGGGGAAGTCTCATTTAATCTTGTCATAAGGGACAGTGGGTAGTGTGGTGATTAAAGTGCAAGGTTGCTAGCTGAAAGCTTGGTTGGGACCCACCAGCCTCTCTGTGAGAGAAAAATGTGACAGTCTGCTTGCCTAGAGATTTACAACCTTGGAAACCCTCTAAGTCATTCTATTCTGTCCCAGACGGATCTCAAGAGTCACGGTCAACTTGTTGCAGTGGGTTTGGTTTGATTTTTAATCTTGTCATAGAGCAAGCACTGGTTCAAGTACAACCAAAAATGTGGGCATCCAACTAAGCCAACAGTACTTACCTGTCTTGGACTAATTAATAATAGTAATATTTTATGAGATAACATGGTGGCGCAACACACAAGGGTTCCTCTACTAACAGAAGGTCTGTGGTTCGAACCCACTGAGTCACTCGATGGGAGATGGAGCTGGGGAAGAGCTCCTGAAACATGCACCTCTTAGCCAAGCCTACGGAGCAGCTCCATTCTGTCTCGTGAGTTGAAATCACATCACTGGTACCCAACGGCCTCATTTTATAGAGCTTATTGTTCGAAAATTGTTATGCTGAACTTGAGGACTTTTCTATTAAGTGCGTTTAACTTCAGTGATTAATAATGAAAGCTGGAACTAGAAATTGAACCTTTCTCTTTACTTTAAAAAGATTTCCCTTTTTTGTGTTTAATAAGCTGCATTTCCTATAGACTACAACATTGGGAATTGTGAGCACGACATATATTCATTTTAAGAGAACATTTGCATTTCTTCACTAATATTAAATAGCTGAATCTGTCAGCAAATTTAGTATAAACATGGATGTTCAACTGAATTATTTTTTTGCAAATTGAGATGAGTTGTAATTGTGAAAACCAGTATTTTTATGTCTAAAAATTATGACTCTAAGGGAAAGTTTGCACTTGAAATTTCTGAGTACAGTTGAAAGGAAGACTAGGTGGCAAGCTTCCCAAATGATTGTAGATTAATTTGATTGTTTCATCATCTTATATATGGACCATATTTTTCTAAAATTTTAAATTCAATCTCAAAACTTTATAGTTGAATGACCTCCAAAATGCCTGCTGCCATTGAGCTGATTCCAACTCACGGCGACACTGTCCATCACAGCGTAGAACCGAACTTCCTAACGTACGCTTAACTGGAAGTGGATCTCCAGGCCTTTCTTCCACGATGCCCCTGATTGAGTTCTGACTGTGAAGCTTTTGACTAGTAGCCAAGAATATCATTAGTATGATACCTATTTGTATTTAGTTGACATTTCTGCATATGGATCGCACGCTAATTTTTTTTTTTAGCTTTAGTCAAACTGTATACTTAATGTGTCCTCTTTCTGAGACCCTAGTTAAGGTCCTTGCTTGAAGAAAACAGTTTGCACTTGGGTGGTGACTGAAAGGGAGCCCTGATGTTACTGTGATTAAGTGCTCAGCTGCTAATTGAAAGGCCAGCATTTTGAACACACTAGTCACTCTGCAGGTGAAATATGTGGTGGCTGCTCTAGTGAATCTGTGGAGTTTTAGCTTGGAAACCCTATGGGGCAGTTCTCCCTGTCCTATAGGATCATAACGCATCAATATTTGACCTGATGATAATGGGTTATATTTTTTATTATTATTTCTTAATCATTTTATTGGGGGGGCTCATACAGCTCTTATCACAATCTATACATAGATCCATTGTGTCAAGCACATTTGTACATTTGTTGCCATCGTCATTCTCAAAACATTTTCTTTCTACTTGAGCCCTTCGTATCAGCTCCTCATTTTCCTCCCTCCCTCCCTCACAAACCCTTGATAATTTATAAATTGTTCTTATTTTTTCATTTCTTACACTGTCTGATGTCTCCCTTCACCCACTTTTCTGTTGTCCATCCACAAGGAAGGGGATTATATGTAGATCATTGTCATCGGTTTCCCCTTTCTCCCCCCAGGGTTTAATTTTTTTAGTGATTTGGTAACTGAAACATTGAGAGTTCAAAGCCCCCCAGTGGCGCTGTGGAAGACAGGGTCTGGAGATTGAAGTCCACAAAGAGTGCAGCCAAGAAAACTCTATGAAGCAGTTCTACTCTGTTACACATGGTCTTGCCAGGAGTCAGAATCAACCAGATGACCTAAATCAACAACAACCAGGCCCCAGCCGTCCTCTTTCGCCTGAGTGAAAATTTATACTTACTCTTCACACAGCAACAATCTTGTTCTCTGACATCATGCATTTATAACAATAGTAAAAAAAAAAAAAAGAAGAAATCTACTGTCAGCATCTTTTGCACATGGATGGCGTTGTCTGGCAGTAAGGAATGTTGAGGTACGTGGTGAACGCAGCACTGGCTGTGATGGTTGAGGTCATGTGTCAACTCGATAGGGCCTTGATTGTCAGTGGTTGGCATGTATGTGATGGTGCTATTTGGCAGTTATGTAATTATATAGTCATCCTACATTTTGTGATCTGATGTGATCCTTCTCCATTTTGGAATAATACCTATTTCACATAAAGAGCCCTGGTCTTCGGATCTAGCCATGCTGAGAAGTAAGCACTGGGTGTGCTAATTCTAAGGAAGGAAGACTTAGCTTTTTCATCCTCATCCACTGCCAACTCCCTGCCATTGAGTCAATTCCAACTCAGAGCATTTTCATCCTATATAATTTCAAACAATTTCACGGTCCCTTACCTCCTGTGGTTCTTTATGCTTGACATGTATAAAAAACGTATCTGAAAAGGTTGTTCTGAGTAGAGGTTTCTGGGCCCCAGTCTCAAAGTTACAGATTCAGTGGTTCTGCATTTTAATGAGTTTCCTGTTACTTATGATTCTGATACAGTGAGACTTCTGAGACTCACTGAGCAGAAGGAAGCTCAAGCAGCTTGCTATGGTGACTGGGTTGGGCTCTGCCTTTCTCTTCCATCTTATCCCTCACCACTCTTGTTGTATAATTTATTCTTAAAAGGCATGAGGTTTGAGATGCTTATGAGAAATTCAGTTGGAGAAGAAAGTGGGGCTCTTGAGTTCAGTAGAGGAGACTGGAGGCGGAGGTCTGTGAGTCCTGAGCATGGGATTGCCAGTTGACGCTCACTGAGTGGGATGAGAATGTAGAAAGTGAGGTGAGAATGATCATTATCAGGAATAAGATCCTTATTTTTCTAGAGGCCACCTTTGGTGTAAGGTTAGGTTATGACAATCTCACTGAAACCCCTGGAAATTGATAATGACTAAAATAATCCTCGGCGAATTGGGTCTTTGTGGAAGTGTTCTTAGGGGCGGTTGCTCTCATTCTTATTTAAATTTTGAATTTTCAAAACCAGCTTCCACAGGCTTAGCTCATGTGGTCAAGCATCCCCGCTCAACATTAATGTCCACTGAGAGCGAGGAGCACTCTAGGGCCTTTGCTTCCCAATATCCAGGCCCTGATGGCTCTGAGCTTCCTGCACAGGAATCCTGACCTTTTAACTGAAAGTAGAATTTCTAAATAATGTCCTTTATTTTTGTTGTTATTGAAAATATATACAGTGGAATATGCACCAATCCAATAATTTCTACGTGGAGAAGTCCATGACGTTGATGACGTGTCTTTAGCTGTATAGCCATCCTCGTTCTCCTTTTCCAAGTTGTGCCTCCCCCCTTAACAGAAACTCACTGGCCCTTCAGTTTTCTGCATATTCTGAAAGGAGATTGGATGCGCAGCTAGGCTTGGAATGTCTTGACCGACAGGAGAGGGTTGAAGTTGGTGTGTGCATGGAGTTGGGAGGAAAATGGGGGAATAGTTCTAGGTTGACTAACAAGAGACACCTGATGAGATGTAAACACCAGCAGCACTGCCTCCTGGGCCTGCATAGTGAATTGTAGGACCTGAGATCAGGTTTTACCGTTTCCTAAGGTGCAACGACAGGTCCCTCCCCATCCAGAGAAAAGCAGAGTTGATGAACATGAAAAGACCCATGAAAACAATCCGTGCAGTGGGCTGAAGGACCGACCGTGTGAACAGCAGTGTCCACAATGCAGAGACTAGAACTAGATGGTGTCTGGATACCGCGACGAACGTGTCCCATTAGAAGGTCTCGGGCAGAATGGGAGAGAAATATCAAACAGAACTCAAAATCATCAAAGACTGACTGGTCAGCTTGAGACTGGTAGGACCCCTGAGAATATGGGCCTTACCCTTCAGTTCTGGAAGTGAACTCAGCCCACTGTTAGAATAATCACCCATTTCAGATCGAAAGGGCAGCGCGTACCCAAAGACAAAGGTCAAAGGGTTAGGAAGGAAGGAGGAATAGAAACAGGACCGACAGGAAGCGTGAGACACAAGGATACATGGAGGGGGTTTCAGAGATGAGTTGACTCCAACTGTGTGTGAATTGTTGAATGTAAAACTACGATCTGCTTTGGCCTCTATATTCACCAGAGCTATTGGTCTATCAGTTTCAATCCTGGGGTTATTTTACCTGGCTCAGGCATCGAGGTCATACCTGCTTCATAAAATGAGTCTGTTTGTCCATTGTGAAATAGCCCATGTGGAATGGTTAATCTTCCCAGAAATACAACCAATACAAATGAAAAACAACACCACCACCGTTCGTAGCAAAATTCAACTAAACAGAAAATAGTAATAAAGCTGGAGAGGGTGTGAAGAGATTGGAATGATGGTGGGACAACTACTACGGAAATCAGAATGGTGCTTCTTTAAACAAATGCAAATACAATCACCTTATGGTCCCACAATTTCTCTTCTGGGTCTATAGAGAAACAAACAACACAACACAACACAAACAGACCTATGCCCACCTATGTTTATTGCGGCAATTTCCATAACAGCAAACACATGGAAACAACCGAAAATTCCCATGACAGAGGAATGGGTAACCAAGCTCTGGAACATTCCTACAATGGAACGGTACCATCAATGAAGACAGCGTGACTCCCTTAAACACCGCGAGACAACGACAAAACTAGAGAACATTATGCTTAGCAAGATAAATGTTTGATGATATCTTTATTAAAAGAAAAAGGAAAGTGGATTTTACACTAAAAGATAAGACTTTGAAGACTATGAGAAGGGTAGGGGATGGGGACAGGGGCAAGGAGAGGGGAGGGAGAGGGCATTATAGAAGGAGGGGAAAGAGAATCATATCCATGGGGGGGTCTAACGGGTTACTATTCATTATTAACCGCTTTAATGGGAGCCCTCGTGGCAAATTTGTTAAACATTGGGCTACAATCCTCAAGGTCAGTAGTTTGAAACCAGGAGCTTCTCAGTGAGAGACAGACGGGGCTGGCTAGTCCCATCTCTAGTGGTAGTCTCAGAAGCCCACAGAGGCAGTGCCACCCTGTCCTGTAGGGTCACTGTGAGTGGGAGGAAAATGAAATGGAAGTGGACTTGGATTCTTTAGTGACATGCACATTCATTTCAGACAAACAAACAGAAAACCCCTCCTCCAATCTGCTTTGTAAACTGTCACCAATTCACAATAAAAAGTTTTGGTTTTTTAAAGTTTTACAATTTCCAGGATTGGATGGGTGGACTCCATGCCTGTCTGTCTTTTAAAATGATTTCCTTTGGGGCAGATCTGACCTCACTGCCCGACTTGGACTAGTTCTTGCCCAGAATTAACTGTGGCATTGGCTCTTGACAGACAACTCCCACCATCCTAACATCTCCAGACTCAGTCTCTCCTCCCCATCCTAACACCAGTCTACACGCCATGAAGATTCCCAGTTTCTTCCCCTAAGTCGTCTACCCCTTCCAAGGACAGAGTTCAGAGCCGTTAGGTACCTGATTTCCTGGAGGAGTCTGGGCGGGCTGTCGCTGTTCACCGCTGACAGTAATGTCTAAGGAGACATGCGTGCTCTGGTCCTTTTATCAAGGGTTCATGTGGCGGCGAGGCTGGGGGAGGTGGGAAAATGAGCTGACACCAAGGTGTACTTGTACTTTCACTTTCAAATTGAATCTGAAAGGGAACATTCCGTTCTTATCTCATGAGCCAGTTGATGGTGGTTGTTGTTGCATCTTTTACTTTCCCTACTTCCAAGAAGAGATCGAGGCTTTTAGGCTTCTCTGTGAGAGCCCTGGTGTCATGGTTACACACTGGGCTGTGAGCCGTGTGCT